CAATGACAAGTTTCTACCTCTTGAGGCACCACGAATTCTCCCAGAAACCCAGCCTAATGAATCACCTTGATCTTTCAACAAAACACAGTTCTTTAGAATAGATGCTGTATTCAAGGCTGCCAGAAAAATGTGGAATAGACTTTATTATACTTCATGTATTTGGGGGTTCCTTTGTCTACCTTGAAAGTTGACTTTGTTTTGTTCACAAAAGTTGATTTAACTTCCTTTTATCAAATTATAGCCATTTGCTGATCTTGCCTTACTGGATCCTAGGCCCCTTTGGCTGATACTTTGGGTGATCCGAAACCCTTGAGGCACACATTTTGAATTTGGTGGTTTACTCCCACAGATGGCTACTCACATCCGTTGTGGATAGATTTATAGTCTCTCAGAAAAGAGTAATACTTCTCTTTTGGGGGAGTTTACTGTAACACTTGATATACTGGGAATGTACTAGAGTTATGGACTGGAGGTATTCTTGTGGGGTAAGCCTCTCACCCCAAGTCTCTCCAACGTGTATTGTGGTGTTTCTTTGGCCCATATGAGGAAGCCCTGGGCTCACTTGACTTAGAGGACATGTGGATATGTCTACCCAGCTCCCCAGCCTTCATAATGGCTGACATCATACTTTTTGCCAGAATGGGATCTGCCTGTCGAACGTACGTACAATAACTGTCCTTCCTTTGTTGTCTTTGTCCTGTCTATCCCTGCTTCTAACTATATAGCTTTGGTTTCCTTGGCTTCATCTCCCAGCTCTGCCCCCTACACCCCACCTTCTATATTTTCAATCCTTTGTTCTTTTCCTCTTCTGATCTTCCCATCCTTAGCTCCATTGGGACCTCTCCCACCCATCGAGCCCCTGGATTTCCACCAGCCTCTTCCTCCTGCCCTTGCTGGACTTCTTCCATCAATTGAAGAGACACATTTTGCCTCCATCAGTTTTGCTAAGAGTTCTGAAGAGACTTGTAGGAACATTAAAAACCAAAGGCTTTTATGGGTTCATTTACTCTTTAAACAGACATTAAGGCCTTTGTGTGTGGTAGGCAGTGGAGATGCAAGGTTAAATAACAAGTATTTCCACCTTCAAGGAGCTCGGTTCTTAGTAGAAGAACCCTGAAATTTGCAAGTACTGTGAGAGTGATTTTTAAAACCTTAAGGGACTCAGGAACAATGCTATGTATCTCTTTTACTTATTTCAGTATGGAGCATATATGGTGGTGGACTCCTTCGGTACACAGACTCAAGCCTGTGGACTCTGACACCGTATTTCTGAGTTTTTCCTACTGTCACTACCGGGCACTTGAGTTCCACAGCATTTGACCCTGGTGACCATCCCCTGATATTCTTTCCTTCCCTGCTGTGTCCTCAGCAGCCCTTCAATCCAACATTCTGGCAGCTCTCTCAGGTGCCTCTTTGTTCATACCTTCTAGGCCATCCATAGCCATTCTCTCTTCTCTACACACTTCCCTGGGTAGGTCACACCGACCTTTCAGTGGGTTTCTCAACTGAGCTTACTCTCTGACCTCAAACACCTTCTTCCTTACCATTTTTATTCGGTTCATGTCTCCACCATCAGCTTTCCCCCACTCGTGTCTGCATAGCCTCCCTCGGACAGGCAGGTAGGCTCCCCTAGCTTCGCCCATCCCGTTGTGCAGGATACCGCTTGCCTGCCCTCCCACCGGCCTGGGCATTCTGAGGGCAGGAACCACACCTGGGTTACCCCGTTCTGTATCCCCAGCGCCAGCCCTGCACCTGGCTCCGAGCAGGTGTCGTTGAGTTAAAGCCTGACACAGGATAGGGCTGGCGTAGCTACAACTAGAAGCGGGGTGAGACGCCTCAGGCCTGGCGGCGTCTGCGGGGTGAGAGCCGGCCCCGGCTGGAAGGTTCAGGGGCGGGGGCGGGAGGGCGACCGCCGGTTGCTGGCCCCGGAGCAGGGCCCCGGAGCCGGTCGGGGCCGGGCAGGGAGGGGGTCTCAGAGGCCACCTATCTAGAGCCACCGCGGACAGCCAGACGCCCCCGCGAGGCGAGGCTGGAGAAGCCGCTGCGGCGCCCCCGCCGCCCCCGGCGGAACCCCTGCGGACCACCGCCTCGGCGCGCACTCGCCCCGCGCTTCCCTCTTGGCCCCTCCCGGCCACCGTTGCTCTCTATACCGCTGCGCCCTGACCCGGAAGAGCATCCTCCTTAGCAACTGCGGGACCGTGACGGCGCCGGTCTCCCGGGAGCTACGGTGAGACCTCCCGCCCCCGCCCCGCGCGCCCCCTCTCACCCCCTTCTTCGCACTGACCCGCGTCTGGCCCGCGTGGGCTCCCTGGCCCTTCGTGGGGCACTTGCGGTGGCCCCGGGCGAGCGCCCTCCGCCTCTGGCATCTCTCCCGGGTCCCTGCTCACCCCACGCCCCCCGCTCCGGACAGACCCGGCCTCCGAGGCCGGGCTCCTCGCCCCCGACCCGCTGGCCCTCCCTTGTAGCCCAGTCTAGTGCAGCGGTGAGGAAACCCAGAACGAAGCAGCGGTTGCTGCAGAGAGGATGCTTCCCGAGGCTCAGGTCACCTGTGGACGCGTTCTCACGGGTCCTGATCCACATATTGGGGATTGGCAGGGATGGGCGGCGCCTCAGAAGGCTTGAGTGGCAGCCACTGAACTACAGTACTTGATGTTTGCCTGCTGCTTTCCAAAGTGATATCTTGATCCGCTTTTTTGATCGTGGAGACTCATTTAATTGAATATTTTGACGGATCCTTTCCCGGGTAATTAGCTTGCTAGTCTTCAGCGCTGTGCAGTTAGTATTCTGTAGCTTAGATTTTGTATCTTCCAGTTTTTTTTACAGAAGGAACTCTCCCTGGGACAGAGTAGGCTTAGGAAAAATGTCGAGTGGAATTTGCTACTTGAAGAAAGTAGGGGCAGGTGTGTTGTTAACAGATTCACTACACGCTCTTATCAACATTCCAGCTGGATTTTTTTCCCCCCCAGAAATTGACAAACTGAAATTTACGTTGGAACCACAAGGGACTGATAACTTCCCTTTATTGAGTTTGAAGGAGTGGCACTAAAAAAAATTCTTAAGCTTCATTTGAACATTGTTGGATAATGACTTTATATTTGATCCAATGATGATGGTACTAAAACTGAGGCATGTGAACAATTTTGGGGAATGACATTATTTGGGAATAAAATTCAGGAGTTTATATATCAAAACCATTATTCAAAACAGTAGAATTTTATTTCATTTCAATAAGTATTAAGCACTATAATGTTATATGTGCCTGAAAGGAGATATATATATATATATAATATATATATATATATATATATATATATATATGAAATATATATAAAAAATATATATGAAGTGAGACTGCACACATTAAATTTTAGGAAAACTATAAAATTGCATTTGTTTAAATGTAAAGTCAGTGGGAGGAGAAATCAGTATGGGTCTGAATTTTCAGGAATATGTTTATGGGTTATATCTCGAAAGTATAGATACTACTTGTCTCTTGATTTGTCTCTAAAGTGTAGATACAACTTGTGTTTGTGTTGGAGGGGACAAGGAATCCTAAATAGTTTCTTCCTTAGGTTCTTAAAGGTTTGGGAATTAGTCTCATGTGACATTTTGTAGATTTAAATTTCTGAGGTCACTTGCTTGCAGTATCTCTTTCACTCTTAGTACAAATCTGTCTGGCAGTTTTTGTGTTTGACATCTAAAACAATGAGGCAACTAGTAGGGGGCTTTGCCACCTAAGAGATTCTTCTGCTTCTGCAGTTGATCTTAATTTTATAGGAGACACCACAGTTTAAGTAGAGTTAGTTACTGTTTCATACATACTTAAGAGTCTTGTGAAATGTTTTTCTTTCGTCATTTGACAGATATTTCCGGGATGCTTCCTATGTAGCAGGCACTGTATCAGGAAACACCCAAACAGCAGTTACTCAGCAACTATTGATATTATAGTAGCTCTGCTGTGTGTGTGTGTGTGTGTGTGTGTGTGTGTGTGTGTATACATACCTGTCTGCCTTTGATGCTAAGCATTTGGTTAGAGATGCAGAAGGGCTAAAGAAATTTACACAGGCATACCTCATTTATCATGGTTCCTTTTATTGTGCTTCACAGGTGTTGCCTTTTTTTTTTTTTAAACAAATGAAAAGCAAGACCCTCCACCAGCAAAAAGATTACTACTCACTTGATTGCGTTACCTTATTACTGTTTTCTGGAACTGAAACTGCAATATTTTCGAGGTATGCCTGTACAGGCACCTGAATTTATTTTTCTTTTTAGCGTTGAATAGGCATTGTAGGCTCAGTTGCTTTGGGCAGTCTCCAAAGATTCATTTTGTGAAGATGCATACTCTTAAGGAGTCCTCTTGTGATGTTTTATTGCTTTCTTACAGGTTTAGTGCCCATTTATTCACTTAACAAATATTTGAGTGCCTACTTGGTACTAGGCACTGTGCTTGGCGTTGGTTAGGGGAGAGAGTGAATGCATACATGGTCCTTGTCCTTAGCAGATGATGTCAAATAATCCCACGAATGTAAAACTGCAACTGTGACAAGTATTTGAGTTAGGGAAGTCACAGAAGTGACATTTGAATTGAAATCTGAATTGAAATTTGAATGGAATACTGGGGAAAGGAAGAATGTTCCAGTCAGAGCAAGCAGCAAGGGCAGAGACCCTGTGATGGCAGGGTTCATGAAGAGGACTGAGGACTTACAGAACAGCTTGATGTGTGGAGCAGGAAGAACGAAGAATCTGGTGGGAGAGGGGCCTGGAGAGGTGGGCCAGAAGGCGGGAGGCCTTGTAAGCAGGTTGAGGAGTTTTTCTTTATCCTTTAGTAAAGAGAAGCCTCTGTACAGTTTTACTTAGAGACTTACGCTGGATTGTGGGTGGGGATGACACTTAGATCGTGTTTGAATAGCCTGCTTTGTATTTCTACCGTTGCTTAGTATTGTATACTTTCCTTGTTTTCTCAGCATGCTCCCTCAGCTTTGTTGTTGTTGGGGAAGCCTCTATGTTTCACTAGCAAGACATGTCCACTTTTTTGTCTTTTAATTGGGAGAAAAGGAATTTTAGGGATTAAGATTGGACCATAGGAGTTAGTTGATTTGGAATATCAGTGTGACCTCTAGGACACTAATTTCTGTAACTTTTTAGTCTACTAAAAACATAAAATTTACCCTCTTAACCATTTCCAAGTGTGCAGTTCAATGGTGTTAGCTGTATTTACATTGTTGGGTAACAGGTCCCTAGGACTTTGTCATCTTGCAAAACTAAAACTCCACCTGTTGGATGGCTCCCTGTCCTCCCCCCAGCTCCTGGCACCCTCCCTTCTACTTTCTGTTTCCTGGATTTTGACTACTCTAGGTATCTCAAATAACTGAAATCATACAAGATGTGTTCATTTTTACCTTCATGATCCTTTCCTGGAATACCTTCTTTCGTCAGCCAATTAAAATCCTCTTGGTTCTTTAAAGGCCCAGTTCCTTGTCCTTGTCCTTCAACTTGGATTAATAGACCCAGAATGAAAGAGGTCTTAGAAATAATCCTGTCCAACCCTCTCTTATTCTAGGTGAGAAAAATGAGACCGGTAGAAGTTTCAGTGAATTGTCCAAGGACAGACATTGGGCAGACCTGGGACGAGAGCTCGAGCCTTTGAGCCCTTGGATGGGTGCCTTTGGTGCTTCGGGCTGTTCACATGTTGTGACTTAGTGTTCTGTGCTTTAGTTAGATCAGAGGTACCACTGAGGTACAGAAACATTTCCATAGCTCTATAACATACGCTGAGGCATATTAGATGCCTAGGAAATACTTGTTGATGAATTGATAATCTTCAGGACTTTCATGGCCTAAAAGACGGCCCTACAGAAAATGTTGAGCATCGTTGATTTCAGATCCTTGATTATATTAATCAGATTTACATTGGTCCTTCTGCAGTTGGATAATTCTTTCACGTTTGCAATCAGAGTTCAGACTTGCTCACCTTTTCATGATTCTTTATTGCATGTATTTGCCCGTGGTATGTGTTCTTGGGTTGCCCTGTAAAGTTTGAGGAAATCTGATGGAAAAACCCATCAGAAGTGAAAAACCTAATGCATTAAACTTTTTGGGTTAGCTGATTTGAGGCAAATTTTTGAAAGAACCATATTTGTACCACATTTTGTAGTGCTCATCTTAGAATTCCTATAAACCAGTTGAGTTTGGGTATTGGACCAGAAGTGATTTTGAGATGGCTCAATATTTTAAGGGCAAAAAAAGTGTAAGCATTTTCTTGTGTGAGGAAGACTTGTAAACTTTTATTTGCAGTTTTCCTAGTTGTCCCTGACTTTGCTTTCCTGTAATGGTAGGTCAGCCTCATAGAATCCAACTTTTAGAATGTCTTCTTATTTTAACCTTCAAAAAGTTTTTTCTTTTATATAGGAAGTTGCTGTGGGAAATAAAGTTCAGTTTCACTCACATACTACAGAGCACATGTACAAATCAAACTGGGGGCCTAGACTGGGTCCAGAGATGCCTCTGAGATGCAGCCGTCTATACCGTTACTGGTGACGTCGGAGACCTGGCCAAGATTCTTGTCTTCATTAGACTGAGGGTGGGTGGTGGTGGAACTGCCGAAGATGCTCCTCTGTGTCATGTAACAGGAGATAGAAAGATTCGACGACGAGGACTTTGCAGATAGCGTTTTATTTGGAACCATAGCACTGATGCCCCAGAGCTGCAGTTATGTGATGAACTCTTGTGTTGAAGCTGGAATTGGTCAAGTTCAGTCAATTATTAGTCCAAAAAAAAAAACCCTACCCTTTCCCCCCAATTTTTAAAAAATTTTTTATTGGGGAATTGGGGGGATGGGGACAGCTTTGGGGAATTGGGGAGGGGAACAGACAAGTTGCTGTCGTTTTGTTCTTCAGTCTAGTTGTGGAGGACGTCGTTTCACTGGCCCAAGTTGGCACCATCATTGCGCTCTTCCCGGGTGAGGCAGATCAGTCGCCGGCTTCTGGACGGCCGCTCACTGGGGCTGCTGGCCGCTCACGCTGGCTGCTGGCTACACACGGTAGCCCATGGCAACTCACTGCCACAGGGGCTGCAGCCCACGCCGTCGCCGGCGACCCACAGCAGCCCAGCTCCAGGTTGAGCTGTTGTTCAGCATCTTAGCTGTAGAGGGCAGTGTCACTGGCCCTCATATGTGGGATCCGAACCGGGGCCCTCTGGCGTCCCAAGCCAGTTCTTAACCAACGCGCCACTCGGCCGGCCCTCCCCCCAATTTTTAAAATTGTGGTTTATTGGGGGGATTATAATTTATGGATCCCTTTCTATGTGTCAGGTAATTCACAGGCATTATGTCATTTAAAACCAGTTGTCCAATGAGAAAGATGATTTAACTCTTATTGAGAAAATTGAGCATAAGGCAATAAGTGTTAAAACCAAAGTATGGACCCATGTCTCTGATTCCAAAGCCCATATTTCTTCCATCACAGTGCATCATGCCACTTCCCTAAATCAGGTTCTGATTTCAGTATTTACACTGGGCATGAGAACATCAACATATGTACTATTTGAATGATAAAGAGAAGGGCAAGTAATGAAGTAGGCTGATGTACGTAGTAAGAAATTACCTGTTCCCTGTGGCTTAAAAAATCCTTCAAATGAAGGAAAATAATTGTTGGAATATCTGGTAGACTTGAGAGCTTGGTTACCTCAACCAGGAGGCGGCGGGAAGTTAAATAATGCTAATTGAAGAACCCTATTCCTAGGTTC